GATTTGGATCCATATGTTTCATGCTATGGTTAGGTTTACCTTAATTCTTATTTCGTAGTTGCGGATGCTTGCGGAGGGGGTTAATCATAAGTGGGATGCTTGTCCAAGGAAGGGCAGTACCCAAGCACCAGTCCACCCACATATCAAATTATCGAAGTAACGAACGCGAATCATATGAGCATGATGAAAACTAGCTTGACGATAATTCCCATGTGTCCTCGGGAGCGCTTTCCTTTATATAAGAGTTTGTCCATGCTTGTCCTTTGCTACAAAAAGGATTGGGCCACCTTGCTGCACTTTGTTTACTTTTGTTACTTGTTACCCGTTACGAATTACCTTATCACAAAATTATCTGTTACCGATAATTTCAATGCTTGCAGAGAATACCTTAATGAAAACCACTTGTCATTTCCTTCTGCTCCTCGTTGGATTCGACACTCTTACTTATCGAAAGGACTACGGTAGACCCCCTACACTTGTGGGTCATCACCGAACCACTCGGAACCATTCCGATGTCCAAATGCAACCTTCCAATATATGAATCTTTACCTCTCGACCATTTCGAGACTCCTCGCCATGTCCGTGATCTCATCCGGGACTCCGAACAAACTTCGGTCATCAAATCACATAACTCATAATACAAATCGTCATCGAACATTAAGCGTGCGGACCCTACGGGTTTGAGAACTATGTAGACATGACCAAGACACATCTCCGGTCAATAACCAATACCAAAACCTGGATGCTCATATTGGCTCCTACATATTCTATGAAGATCTTTATCGGTCAAACCGCATAACAACATACGTCATTCCCTTTGTCATCGGTATGTCACTTGCCCGAGATTCGATCGTCGGTATCCTCATACCTAGTTTAATCTTGTTACCAGCAAGTCTCTTTACTCGTTCCGTAATGCATCATCCCGTAACTAACTCATTAATCACATTGTTTGCAAGGCTTATAGTGATGTGCATTACCGAGAGGGCCCAGAGATACCTCTCTGATACACAGAGTGACAAATCCTAATCTCAATCTATACCAACTTAACAAACACCATCGGAGACACCTGTAGAGCATCTTTATAATCATCCAGTTATGTTGTGATGTTTGATAGCACACAAGGTGTTCCTCTGGTATTCGGGAGTTGCATAATCTCATAGTGAGAGAAACATGTATAAGTCATGAAGAAAGCAATAGCAATAAAACTAAATGATCATTATGCTAAGCTAACGGATGGGTCTTGTCCATCACACCATTCTCTAATGATGTGATCCCGTTCATCAAATGACAACACATGTCTATGGTCAGGAAACTTAATCATTTTTTATTAACGAGCTAGTCTAGTAGAGGCATACTAGGGACACTCTGTTTGTTTATGTATTCACACATGTACTAAGTTTCCGGTTAATACAATTCTAGCATGAATAATAAACATTTATCATGATGTAAGAAAATATAAATAACAATTTTATTATTGCCTCTAGGGCATATTTCCTTCATTGTGTTGTGTTGAAGGGATATCTATATGATCTGAAGGATTGCATAAGTCCCGCGGTAGCAATAGAAAAGAGAATATACAGAAAAGATAGTTCTTTTCAATTTCGATTATCTATATATTAGTTCATTTCTATTTTGATATATTAGTATTAGTTAGTAGTACTATTAGTTACTGATCCCGGCTCTGTGAGTTCTTTCTTACGTTGTGGATCATCTCAAACATCTTCATGTCTACATAGTCGTATGCCGGCTCGCCCGCTTTGGGCATACCAGTAAACAGCGTGCGGGCACCCAACTGCTCCACGCCCGATGTCCTGTCAAGCTGCGGTGATGAACACTTCGATAAAAGTGGCGGCACCGCGTTGACATCAACGATGAAGGGCACTTGCCCAACGACGGATGTCGGGGATTGCCTGCCGAGCTGCTTGGCGGCGTAGTAGTACGGGGCATTGTAATGCTCCGGACATGGCGGTGGATGTCGGGGATTGCCTACCGAGCTGCTTGGCGGCGTAGTAGTATGGGGCATTGTAATGCTCCGGACACGGCGGTGAATGCCGGGGATTGCCTACCGAGTTGCTTGGCGTAGTAGTAGTATGGGGCATTGTAATGCTCCGGACATGGCGGCATTTGCACGATCGGCTACAACAGCGGGGGCTCGCGTCCCAGGCTCCGCCCTCCACCACACCCGCCACTGCATGACCGCCACCTCCGCCAGCCTTCTGCTTCTTGAGCGGCTCGTCTTTGCGGCCTACGCTTTAAGGCGGCGATTTTGCCTTGTCTCCGAGTTGATCTTCCAGACGAGCATGAGCCTCGGATCCTCCAACACTGCCATCTCCGACAGCTTCTCCTGCGGGTCCATGAGTCGGTGGCAGCGAAAAAGGGCGAGAATTAGATGAAGAGCGGCAGGATGGATGAGGAAAGTGGAGGATTTTACCGCGGAAACAATGCAACCAGCTACAAAAAGTGTGGGCTCCGCCTTAGTTTAGGGTGGACATGGGGTGTCGGAGTCCTACGTGGTTCGTGTTCAGTCTCCCGCAAAGCACCTCTCATTTGGTTCCCGTTTACGTGAAAATTGCGGTCCAGATTGTTCTGCGGATCGATGGGCCGGTCGTCGTTTGATCACCTGCGGGATCCAGACAACTGCGGCCAGAGGGATACGGGCGGTGTACGGGGTTGGCGTTGGAGACGCCCTTGCTACTTTACCGGTAACACCCCGGTAAGTAGGTGGTATCAATTCAAGGCATGGCTTGATCAAGGAAGCCATTTGGAGTCTGGGAAGATGATGGATTCGGAGCAGTTGAGTGGTAGCGCTGCATCATCAGTTTTGGACCACCGGGGGGGGTCATCGTCGTACTACCCCAGTAGGCACTAGGCAGTACCCACCGTCGGCTCCGCGAGCTACAGGAGTTCCATCGGTGTCGCAGTTGGCACGTTGGTTGCTTGTCCCCTGCTGCATCTGCATGCGCTGCTTTGCGTACCATCCGCCAGTTTCGATCTAGGAAAAACATTACAGGCGCAGCGTGTCCTCCAAGTCCCAGAGTTCAGGGACTGAGTTTTTCCCGTTGACCAGGTAGCAAAATGTAGATAACATCGCCTCCCCGTCTCCAGCTACGGCTCACGGCCGACCGTCGTCGTCGTCCGTCCGTGTACCGCGCGCGAGGAGCCGGTCAAAACGCGCTTCCCGAATATCATATCATATGCGCGCGTCTTAATTCGAACAATAAGGTTATGTGTACGCATGCGGCCAGCCAGGAATAGCGACAGAAAAGGGCAAAGAACTGGTGGATAGACAGTGAGTACGTACGTGATTCATAAATAAACTATCTATGGCGTACACGCAGGTCAGAGACAGCGACAGGCTCCGCTGTGGCTCTCTGCACATTCTTATTGCATTCACGTGCACTGCAATGGACCGACCCAAGCTCGCCACCAATCCACGGTCCAAACGTAGGATGGCTCAGCCCTCAGCATAGTTATGGAAGCCTGTAAGCCAGCCGAGCACCCCTTCTCGATCGCCTGAGAAAATCTGAAGAACGCGAGAAACCCGACTCGGCCAGCTCGCTGCATCGACGCAGAGGCCAAATTACTCGCCCATGTGAGCATTACGCACCTCCCACTTGGAGTACTTTACAAGACAAATTGATCAGCGCCCAACAGCTGCGATCTTTAGGTGCACATGCCGAAAAGCGGCATGCATGGCCATGGGGCGGGGGTTGGGCTGGAAGACAAGGAAATGACACGCACGAGCACGAGCCGCCCCGCACGACTGGACTGGACGGAAAGTGACGGGGATGCGTTGTGTTATCCTTCCCTAAGCTTGCTTGCTTCCAACGCACGAAAAAACCATTATACTGATTGGTTTGTGCAACAAACTTAGACCCAGGACCCGTTCCGGGCTGCCGGTGGCCCGGCCCGATCGCCCCTACCAAATCATCCTCCAGACCAGAGGAAGGAGGAAGGATGGCCGCATCCGCATGCAATGCAACCAATGTTTTAAATAGTGGGCTATGGCATTTAGCGGCGACCCTTAAAAACAGCTATTTTTGAACTATAGCGGCAAATTGTACATGAAATCATTTAGCGGCAACACCCTCAAACAGTTATAGTGGAGCTTAGCCGGCTATTTAAAATTATGAATGCAACTGGCCTTTTCTTCCCAGCAATCGCACGGTGATGATGAGGGTGAAAGGAACTTGCTCAAGAGAGATTCGAAGAAAATATGGAGTGTACGCAGCCAGGTCAAACGCTCTGGTTCACGGAGACTATATGCATATGGCCACATACTATGTGACAAGCAGTAGCACTACATTTACTGTCATTTTATTTCCACCCATTGACAAATTCTCTACTGTGATAAACAGCAGTCCTCGGTGACTCCGCGGGCGGGTGCGGCAAATTTTGGGTTCATTCCCAACTGGGTGAGACCACTTGCTCTCAAACTTATTAACTGATGATGACAAGAGAGAGAGCTCGAGTGGAACAAGTGTCAGAGATCGCAGGAAGCCTCCAAGCACTGGCTTCCAGAAGCCGCCAGCGGTTAGGTCATCGCCCGATCGCCACGGACAAGCCCCCTGAACAAGCCAGCAGGCGACATTGTTGCTGCTGGCTTGTCCTCTTCGCTTTTCTGAACCCGGCCCCATCTGCCGAATGCTCACGCTATTAACTCCGGCCGACGAGCCGATCCACCGTCGACGCACTAATGCGTGCGGCGAGGTTGAAATTACCACCAACTAAAGCGCAGCACAGCCTTTTCTTTTTCTGATTTCGAAAAATAACAAAAAACTGCAATGTGACCGACAGAAAACAGAGGAGTGGCTTGCTTCAGGGGAAATTTTTGCAGAATTTCTTGCCTTTCTTCCCATTGTGTCATGCATTGTAAATTTGTACATCAAAATGAAGAAACAAAAGGTGAACTAAGAAATGGAGGAGGAGGAGATTTGTTTCTCTTAATTTCTTGTTTTTTTTCTCTACATACAGACGGACGGGAGAAGATTTTACGGCGATCAGACGACGGCGTGGCAGAGGCTGGATTTCCACTGCGACTGCCACGACTCCACCCACGCCAAGAATCTGTACACCTTGCCGAAGACGCAGAGGAAGACGAGCCCGGCCACCAGGCTGTATGCCGCCACGCCCACGGCGCCGCCCTCCGCCGCCACCCAGCCGACGAGGTACACGGCGTCGGCCGCCACGAACACCCACCCGACGCCCTCAAGCGCCGACCGCGTCCACGCGCTCAGCCGCTCCTCGCCGTAGATCCGGCACACCATCCTGGAGCAGAGCGCGAAGATGATGGCCAGCGCCGTCTTGGACAGGCCCCGGTACCGCATCGCCGTGCCGCCGACGACCAGCGGCTCCATGCGGCAGAGGCAGGACGCGCACTCCCCGGAGAAGCGCGACCAGCGGAGCGCCTCCAGCCCCGTGTAGTAGGGCAGCACCACGGCGTCCAGGTAGAGGCTGGCGTGCAGCACGCCGGAGACCGTGGAGGCCTCCAGCACCGCGTACCGGATGTCGCCGTCGGCCTCGTTCCGGAACGCCAGCGCCGACGCCTGCAGCAGCAGCAGCAATGCCGGGCCGAGCTGGGCCAGCGGGAACACGGCGTTGACGCGCTGCCCCTTGGCCAGCGCCAGCAGCACCAGCGGGAGCAGGAACGGGCCCGAGGGGACCAGGTACTTCCGCTTGACGCCCCTCACGCCAGCGGCGCCGCTCCGGACGAGGTCGAGCACGGCGAAGGCCAGCGCGGCGACGAAGCAGTAGGCCGCGAAGGCGGCGACGAGCGCGCCGACGGCGGAGTGGTAGTCGCCCGGGTAGGAGCTGTCGCAGTAGTAGTGGTAGGGGCAGGTGACGAAGTCCGTGGTCTCCTCCAGCTGCCACCGCGTGCACTTGAGTATCTGCCTCGTCACCGCATCGCCGCCCAGCTGCTGCAGCCGCGGCGTCCACGCCGACCGCCCGGCGCCTCCCAGCAGCGGCGACAGCATCTGATCATACGACATGGCCGGCGTCTACCTAGCTTGCTCTCTCGGCGTCCGTCCCCCGGCCGACGCCGACGCCGACGCAGCTCCTGCTCCTTGGTGCTCGGCCTCTTGTCCTGTTAGCCGATACGCATTCCCGCATTTGGTGGCCGAATGATGGCTTGCTTTCAGAGGCACCTCCTCCTCCTCCTACACTCTTTTTCTCTCCTCCTTGGGTGGATGGATGGATGGATTTTTGTGTGCTGGAGTTGTAAGAAATGAGGGAGTTGGAATCGGATAGGGAAGGTTTAACTGGAGGCTCGGGGGGAACTTGACATGCCTGCCCCTGATCTGAAACTTTGAAACGGCACGCACCTCGCCATCGCCATTATTAAATGATCCTGGGTTCTCAAGATAGAGAGAGATATATGGGCTGCTGATATCATTAGCGGAGGCTTTTGTGGCGGGGGCGTTTTGGTCATGTGGCGGCGATGGTTTGCTGTCATGGTGGTTGGGCCGGGGGAGAAGAGAGAAGAGAAAGGGAGAGTAGGCGAGGCTGATGGAGGGAAGGATTGTTTGACTTCGTTTGTACTGCTGCATTGGTTGGTAGGCGAGCGAGGACGAAGACAGACATCTGGTACGTAAGTACGATTGTATAATTTTATTTTTTTTAAATGTTGGCAAGCTGCCAAATTCGTTGATCAGAAGAAGGTATTACAAGAACACCCCCAAAGGAGGAATGCATCGCATAAAGGCAAGTGCTAAAAAAAAGGAAAATAGGGCTGCTCAGTTAATTGAGAGAAACCGGGCTAAAACCAAAGCAGCGCCTAGATAAACTAAGACTAAAGCACCACAACATATACAAAAACGCCGGAAAGCCAAAACCCCACAACACACCGGGCGGGCACTCGAGCGCCTACGCTGCTACCAGAGTGCACACCGACAACCGTCGTATTGTACCGGGCTGCTACGAGCATATCCGCAAACATCGAGGACACCGGAGAGGAACGATACATCCGAAAGAGCGAGACATATGCCGCTCCGATCCCACGAGGCTAGCTGACATAGCTCGCCTGGCGCTACTTGCATACAAAGGGTGCTCTTGCTCCTCTCACCGTCGACCGACGATCCACTCCAAACGGACGCACCACCAATGCTCCATGCTCACCAAGACGCTGCCCGCTCCAGATCCACCACACCACCACCAACCAGATGCTTCCAACACCAGACTTGACTCCAAGGCAATGCTTCCAACAAAGTAATGACGCCAAAGACGCCACCATTGCACACGGTTTTCACCGGGAGACAAGAACACGGAGCAGGGAGAGGTGTCGGACCCCCTTGATGGCACCTCCAACAAGGGAAATCACACCCGAAGGCGTCATTTGCCATCAGCTCAAACCAGAGTCGAGCATGACTTTCGTCAGGGAAACCGAGCACCTATGCTGCGACGACTTCGCAAACACACCACCACCAAACCGGAGCTGCGCCACTTGCTGCACCGCACAAAACTAGCCGGAGCACTGCCGGCGACACAAGCCTAGAGCGTCCCGAAGGCACAGCCCAGACCACGCCACCCCAGACCACCATCCCGACATGGAGCTACCACAGTCCGCTTGGAGTCAGTCGCCGTCCGAGCCACCTCCGGCCGCCATAGCGCCAGATCTGACCTATAGGGCCCGTCAGATCCGGCCGCTCAGGCCAGAGGCCACCAGCTAGGGGAGCCCGCGTCCCCCAGCATCACCCTGCGACGACGACGCGCACGTCCGCGCTGCCCCTGGGCATCCCCGCAGCAGTGACCGCGCCCAACCCCATCGACACGCAGCCAAGGGCGCGCGGGCGTTGGACAAGCACGTAGCCAGGCGCCTCCACCGCGCAGCCACGGACGCGAAACGCGCGGATCCGGGCGCGCAACCACAGATCCCAGGCTCCAGCAAGCGCCGGCGGATCTCGATGGACGCGCAGATGCAACCCCTCTCGACGCGCCAGACTAGACAGGGATAGCGCCCCGCCGCCGCCTTCCTCGGGGCCGGCCCGGGCTTCGCCGGCGGGCGCCCTCTGGCGACGACGAGAGAGGTGGGGGAGGGGGCGGGGACTGTGGCGGCGCTAGGGTTTCTACCCCCGTGTCGCCAGAGCTAGGCGACACGGGGGTCGGGCGGGGGTCTCCCGGGTCAGTAGTAATAAGCAGTACTAGCACCATACGATTGTATAATTTGGTGTACACGTTGCAGTACCAGCTGTCTGTTAGCGGTAGTTCAAGTTTGTTGGGGGCTCGTATTTGGTTTGAGTTTTGTCAAAGTACGCAGTTTGTTGGGGTGTTTGGTGAGAATATGGGGCTGGCTGGTTCAGCAATACTAGTCCCTCCGTTACTAAATATTTATCTTTTTAAAGATTTAAAATAGACTATCACATACGGATGTATATAAACATATTTTAAAGTGTAAATTCACTCATTTTGTTTTGTATGTAGTTATTTGTTAAAATCTTTAGAAAGATAAATATTTAAAAACGGAGGGAGTAGTTTACATGCATCATTGGGCATGCATGATTAGCGATGGATCGATTCAGCATCTAGCTAGCTACTTCGTCTTGCATGCACACGTTAGTGTTTTTTTTTTCTTTTTGACCTTGTAGTTGTTCATCAGCTTATAAAAGGTGAGTTGGTATCATGGTATGGATGCTCTGCTTCTTCGTGTTAGAAGAGTTTTTTTTTCTTTTCTTTTCTTTTTTTACATTACACGGCAGAGAAATGATGGTGCTATCATTCAGGGCTCCATGGCATCATCGATCAGGATCATTGTATCTAAAAAGAAAGGCATCATGAGGATAATATCTATATCTTTTATCCACCGGTGTGCAGGACGACTTATTTGTCTCTGCTGGAATTATTTGGTGGTAGGTGTCCACAACTCAGACAGCCAGGTAGGCCATGATCCTCCCCTATCTTTCCCTAGACTGGAGGAAGGAGGAGGGTCGTGGCGTCCCAGTCTAACGTTTGTGCTCCGCATGTCTGTCTCTCTCTGGTAAAACGACCGCTGCTGGTGAAAAACTTTTCTGAAAGCGGTCATGTGAGGCAGCGCTGAACGCTGAACGAAGGCTACAATATTGATATCTCCACATGACCATATAGAATAGGTCACCAACTCCTCAATTGGATATAGTCGTGTGGGCATGCATCATGTGGAAAGGTGCCGCTGCTCGTTTCATATTCACTCCCCTACAGGCTACAGGACAGCTTCGTTCCTCATCCTCTTGCCAAACATGTGCTGATGCGCCACGGAAATGGATGGATATAGGCTGGGAATGGCAGCTGCTCAGGATGTTGGGTAAATCTTTTAGATGATAATAATAATAATCTCTGCGTCCATCCAGGCTTCAAACAACAGTGATCTCAAACTTGGTGCAAGCCCAGAAATATTGGGAAAGACATTGGACCCCGTCTCTGAGAAGGACTCCATATGTTATATTGTGAAACATGTTGCTTGTGGAGGCCGTGGAGCCAAACCGAGAATGTTTCAACATCAGAAGAAGAGTCGGCTAGGCCAGCTTCTTCTTCTAGTCTATCATTAATTGGCCGAGTCTGCTCTGCATCATGCTGCAGTGGCAAGCAATCTGTGACACGAGAGCCATCTGCGCACGTCAATCCACGTAGGTGCAGAGATGCAGCAGCCCGCGCGAGTCAATATCTGCTACGGGAAAGACGCCCTTTTGAGCGACGGAGCGAGTAACCCTGGGAATTTACATGTCCGGGATCACGACATTCTGGTACCGCGAAAAACTTTTAAATTTCAGTACTGACAGACAGGATTCATTAGGATGTCTGCCTGGCTAACAACCGTAAGGTGCGAGTACCTTGCAGTTAGGCCATATATTCAAAACACGAGATGCTCAAGGGGGTCGAAGAGTTGGTGTATTTTGTTGGACATGTTAGATCATGGTTTATTTTTACTAGGACATATGCCCGTGCGTTGCAAGGGGAAGGATAAATTGGCGTCCATCTGCAAGCACAACACCTCGTGCTTCGGTACGGAGAAAATACTAATTGCCCGATCCTTGAAAACACCCACCCACGCGGTATGACATCCGGACGGTGCCACCACCGGCAGGTAGGCACACGAATCGTGGTTTAGAAAAAGTGTGGGGTCATGTTATACTCTCTTTGCAAGGTGTTATTAGACTGGTGGACCACTTGGTCTCAGTTGCACAATGATCACAAAATGAGTTCTGGTGCCGATGGTAAGGACATCTCCAATGCGAGGTAATACATACTTTGCCCTTATATAGTTTTGGACCGTAACGCACACGTTCGACCGAAATGCCTCAGACATTTTAGGACTCTCATGATATCCCTTATTTGTCCGCTTGGCTTGCGGTTAGACCATGTTTTCTCATCTCGGTATTCCACTGTCAGCCCACATTATCCAAAAAATAAGGATTATGTGTTAGAGGACCTCTTAGGAAAAATAGTTTTTTTTTGGCAATCCAAGTCAATTTAAATTCTACCGTTTGCAGCCCCGAAATCCTGGAATGCGTCCTTTTCATATAAGTTGTCTTGCAACATGCACACGTCCTTCCATCTTTTTTCATGCACAATTCCTTCCATCCTTGCATCCCATAATAATCCTCATATAGATCCTTCCCCCATTAATAGCCCACAATTCCTTTTTAGGATGCATGTAGACGTCATGCATCTCATTCCTTCTAATCATCCAATTCCTTCCATCCTTTCATGTATGGCAATATCATTGCATCCCATAAATAATCCTCAAATCCATCCTTCCTTTCATAGCCCGCAATTCCTTTTTTTTACAATGCACGTATGCAACGTCATGCACCTCATTTTCCTTTTAATTGTCCGTTCCGACCGTCTAATCCCAGACCTCATCTTAGGGCTTGTTAATTGTCTACATACCGACGTATATAAATTGGTGCGTTCTGATATACTATAGCGAGGTGGGACTATTGATTCAAAAAAGAACATTTTTTAACACAAGGAAAAGCTAGCTCGCTGGTTGCCTTCTTAGAAAGGACGGAGAGGTTGTGAGTTTGATACCTTGCCGGCGCAATAATTTTTTCCTAAGCCCACTCTCCTATTGCCGGGCTGCCACTTCAACTCGGCCCGAGGCCCACGAGAGGAGATTTAAAAACGGAACAACCTAAAAGCTGGGCCTCGGAACAGAATTTGTACCTCATATGGAAATATTCTAGTCATTTTGTTAACGTGGACTCTTGGTGTGTTGGTATGGCATGTGTCATCTCGTGTTCTGGTCGGTGGGTTCGATTCCATGACCTTTTTTTTTCTACCGGAACGAAACGTTTTATCTCTTCGCCACTTCAAAACAGTCAATTGTAAAAAACCACAGAGATCTTTAGTGCCACCTCGAATATGTTTTAAATTCAAACTAAAAACGTAAAATCACGGGAAAAGCGTATTGTGACGGTGAACCCACGGAGTCAATCCGTACTTTATTATTAAGGAAAGATTTTTCGAACCATGTGAGAGAGCTGCATGTACTCCCTCCATTCTAAAATATAGTGCGCTCGCGCTTTCCGAGGTCGAACTTTAACCATAAATTTAACGTACGAGACCGACTGCGGCGGGAGAAAAAGTTAATAATTAAAAACTTCTTTCGAATACGAATTCACTGATATAATTTTTGCTCCCGCCAATCGGTCTTGGTAGTTAAATTTACGATCAAAGTTGAAGCGCGAGGATAGAGGAAACACTACATTGTGAAATGGAGGGAGTACTTGAACTTCGATAAATGCTTGAACTTGGATAAATGCTTGAACTTCGATAAATGCTCGATAAACACTACATTTTGGATCAGTATGGTAAGGCAACGGGGCAGTGCTTGAACTTCGATAAATGCTCGATTATGTTCGGCGAAGCCTGCCCTTTTGCTGTTCAGGAGGAGGTCAGAGACGTTCTTCACGTCACTAGCTTGGTTTTTGAGGAAAAGTACCTTGGGCTTCCAACGCCGGATGGGCGTATGTCCAAGGGAAAGTTTCAAAACCTCGACATGAGCTTGACAAAGAGACTGATCCAATGGGGGGATGGGCTCCTAGGCCAGCCTGGGAGGGAGGTATTGATCAAATCTGTAGCCCAGGCCCTCCCCACATATATGATGGGAGTCTTCAAACTACCTTTTTTCGGTGTGCGATGAACTCACAAGGATGGTGCGAGCATATTATTGGGGAGCAGAAAAGGGCAAGAGAAAAGTGCACTGGAGAGCTTGGGATGATCTAATGCAACCAAAGTGCAAAGGAGGGGTTGGTTTCAGAGATTTCAGAATTTTCAATCAAGCCTTATTAGCAAGGCAGGCTTGGAGACTGATTTCCAAGCCTAATAGTCTATGTGCTCAAATTCTAAAAGCGAGATACTACCCGGACAGTAATCTTGTGGACACGGTTTTCACGGGTAACGCTTCGTCCTCCTGGCAAGCAATTAGTTATGGTCTTGAACTCTTGAAGAAAGGTCTGGTTTGGAGAGTTGGGAATGGAAGGAGTATTCGTGTATGGCGTGACAATTGGATCCCTAGACCATACTCCTACAAACCTATTTCTGCAAGAGGAAGATGCAGGTATCACTTTGTCTCAGATTTGCTTAATGATAATGGTTCCTGGAAGACCGATTTACTGCAGCAATTTTTTGTGCCCGCGGATGTGTTTGAAATCTTAAAGATTAGGGCCTCGCCGAGATTGGAGGAGAATACCTTGGCTTGGGGTTCAGGAAAATTTGGCTTATTCTCTGTTAAAAGTGCATATCATTTCGGCTTTGAGGAGGCCTTCATGGACAGCGCCACGGGTTCTAGCTCGAGGCCGGATGGACGTCGTGATTGTTGGAAACTCATTTGGTCCGCCGATGTTCCTCCCTCAGTTCGTAACTTTGCATGGCGAGCTGCTACTGAATCATTTCCTACGTGGAATAATAAGCACAAAAGAGGGCTTGAGGTAAATGACTTGTGTCCGGTATGTTCTGTGGAAACTGAGGACTCATTTCATGCTCTTTGTCGCTGTACATTATCATGTGTGCTCTATGATATCATGTCGGAAGTCTGGCCTTTACCAAACCTATCTTCCTTCCAGTCCTCCGGTCATGAATGGCTGCTGCAAATGCTCTCTAAATTGCAGGACATTGAACGGTCCATGCTGCTAATGACTCTGTGGAGGGCGTGGCATATACGCAATGAGATTGTTCACAACAAAGCCCCGCCACCCATGGAAGTTTCACGCAGATTTTTGACGAGCTACCTGGACTCTATCATTGGCATAAAGTCTAATCTTGGTGCTGAATCGTTCAAAGGAAAATCCCTGATATTATATGGAGCAACTCGGCCTCTTATGGACAAAAGTGCAGACCCTAAGTGGGCTGCTCCTAGCGTTGGATTTGTCAAGTTAAACACTGACGGTTCCTTTGCTGAGGATGGCTCGGCTGGTGCAGGTATGGTGTTAAGGGATGAGAGGGGTGCCATCATCTTCTCTTCCCGTAGGCAATTGTTTCACTGTCGGGACGCACTCGAAGCTGAGCTATGTGCATGCATGGAAGGTTTATCATTTTCTATCCAGAGAAGCGACTTGCCTGTGCAGGTTGAGATGGACTCCCTAATGGCAGTAAAATTGATTCAAGCTTTAGATATTGATAGATCGGTCTACTCATCCATCATCAAGGAGATTAGATATCTTTTGTCCCTTCGTGATTTTTGTATTACTCATGTTAATCGTAGCCAAAATAAAGTTAGTGATAGTTTAGCATATTTTGCTCGTAGCGAGGGTAGAACCATGACTTGGCTTGATTCGGGACCTCCAGATGCTTTGGAGTTGGCAGCGATGGATTGTAAGGACTTGATGCTTTGAGTAATACAAATTTCTACCCGCAAAAAAAAAAGGAATGAAGGGAGTACTATATTATACTGTATTAAAGAGAGAGAAGGATACAACATGACCAGCCTAGATTATGGTTTATTAAACTTCTACAGTATAATTTTGTACACCAAAATAAAAAGGCATCATATTTTATATTTTTGAACGTTTCTCTCTGGATTTTTGCTAGCAAGGGCGCATTTTAGCCAGATTTATTTTTATATATTCTTATAAAAGCCGCTCGATTCTTGTCAGACACCCGCGGCATCAACCTTATCCCTGACACGAATATTTTCTTTGCTACCTGTTTCAAAAAAAAAAAAAAACTTTGCTACTCCTGCACCAGGTAGGAAACGCAATTGCCTCTCCACGCATGGTGAAAGTGCGTGCCCTTTCCGGGTCGGCGACGGGAGGGAATCGACAACACGATCATGCATCTACAGGGAAGATATGAGGCCTGAAAGATACGTCCACTTGATGCTTTATTGGGGGCAGGTGAATCTCAAGGGCCTACCACTACCATGCATGTACGTGGTACAGCTTTTGCACCAAATCAGGGGAGGGACGCTGATCCAACAGATGAAAGCAACGCCGGCAACAGCAACATCGGCAGAGGCTTGCACCGTTGAAGCAACCGGAGGCCCCTACGGTGACCGGTGAGAGAGATTTGTCTGGTAGGACGTAGGAGCAGGAGGACAAGAGGGAGGGCGGGGCGAGGACGCCCGGGGCAATGAGTTTGGTTTGAGAATGGCTCTGGTCCATGTGTAGGTAGGGTGGAATCATGAGGTGACTGAACCTCCAAAAGTCTTGACATCCCTGCGCCAAAAAGTCCTAAAGGGGTGGGTGATCTGCGCCAGGATTTCTGTGATCTCACTGTGGATGGTTGATGGCACGTAAGATATAGATATGGGGTGTCGAGGGCCACGAGTGGACTCATGGTTGGGAGAGAGTAATAGGCATGATCATGCAGGGTTTGATACTCGCAGGAAAGGCTCTGCAAAGTACTGCACGCCGTTATTTTAAGGGAAACAAAGTGTAGCATGCCACTTTCGGGGACTGATTATATGTTCCCCGTTGGAGGTGCTCTAGGATAATGCCCGTTGCTCCCCTGATCCATCACCCCTTTTTGTTGCTAATAAAATACTACTAGTATGACAGTGTGGCTCCCCTCGCATCCTTCCAAGCTCATCCTCCTCATCGGCCGTAGCAGCCGCTAACGAGATGGATCGAGAAGGCGTGGGAGGGGGCAAAGTGATGAATTCAAACCCAGCAACCAAACATTTTGGTAAAAAGGCATCGAACTATAGAATATCTGATGAACAAGATTATCTATCAGGAACCACAAACAAAGAACAATCACCTCACCTAATTGATCCCAACGTTTGATAGTGATAACTAAAATTATTGTTGACGAAAATTCACAAAGGAAATCATGTTTATAACTAACTAGAAGTAGTTGCAAGTACCATCGCCATCCCCGAAGAAAATGCAATGACATGTTCTAAATTAGTCAAAGAAGAATCTATCCATACAATTAGGGTCATGCTTCGAAACATTTCTTTCCAGAATAATTTAATTCTACAACTACTCCAATCATAGAAAGAGCATTGGACATCATGTGCTATAAACCCTTTTACAGTAGGTAGCACATGCAAGTCTAGACAATATAACATGACGTCGGGTGAGTACACGCAAGGAAAACATCCACAAGAACGTCCAGTGATCAGGCATCATTGTTCTAAAAAAATTGTACTGCACTAGTAATAAAAATGTATAGAAGAGACCCGGGCCATCAACCAAATTTTTTTGGGGGTCATGGCCCATGTCCCAAAAATGTGTACTCTGTCACACCTAACCCAAAGAGGTTCGCCACAGCTCTACCTGAAGAGGTGGCGACCCGCGTCCTGCTACCCAGTTCCTCGACCCATATTACCAAGGTTCCTAGCAACTATTGTCTCATGCATCCTTACGCTGGTATGTAAGATTCTAACATTACTTGTCCCTGTAGCGGTGCTGTAAACTCAACAAGAAGGTACATGAACTTCCATGTCCTGTCAGAGTTATCTTTGAACATCTCTGAATATACCTTTCCAGCTCCATGCGGACCTCGGATGTAAAAGTTGACCTGAAATGATACATGTATGTCGATTCAAGTGACCAATAATCAAGTTTGAAGGCTTGCAATGCAACTATGGAAACTCTTATAAAATGGCATCCTAGTGTTCCTTTCCACTGTAGCAAAGCATCATCTGAATTCTAAAAGGCATATATAAAACTTGCAAGAAGCCATTACACGACAACAAAAAAAGAAGCATGTTGGATTTCATCTTAATTTCTGTCGCTGTGTTATCATTCGCAAGCTTGATCCTGGTTAAGGAAGTTGCTGGCTCATTGCCATATACCGCTAAGAAACAGTCAAAGTTCAAGTTGCAGCCCCCTACAGTGAACTTGTATTTTTTTTTATTGAATTTGATACACTAATCTTGATGTACAAGACAACATAGAAGTCACAGCAGCAGAACAGCAGAGACAGGAATAATATAGTACCTCCACATGTTCAACACCATCCTCATCTGTCCAAACCCTGTTTGGAATACGCTGTCGAGCTGCACGGTTTCTGCTTTCATTACCATAACCAGTAATAGGGTACCCAATTCTCGCTGTAACCTGACAAAACATGTGAAATACGAAATATAATAAGAGAGGAAAACTACAATACTATGTCAGGATGAACAGAAAAAACACTAACACCCACAAACCTGACTATCACTCTGAACTCTTGCTAGAGCTTTCCCAAAGATCTTGTACCTGTAGGATGGTAACAACAACACGCGTTAAGCAATCTCACTTTCAGGTTGCACGCAAATACCACAGGCATCTTCCCGAAAAAAACCACAGATAATACGTAGCCAAAAGCAATGTGAAAAACTATGTGATGTAAAAAAGAGATTGAGGCATTCAAGCTGACAAAACATATCATTTGATGCACAAAAGAAATTCAGTAAATCTGGCAGGAGAGTATCAATCCATATACGAAAACTGACAACATGCTAAACAAAAACTTAACATCCAGGCTATAATGAGCATGAATTCTATTGTGTAAGCAGCTTCAAGGAGAAGTGTCATTAGTAAGAGTAAAAGATGCCAAGAAATGCAGGCACAAAGCTGATTGTGACACTGTAATACAGCGTAATACGAAAAGTGTGTAGATTACTAATGAACGACAGCATGATTTTCTGCAAGTTGGAACAGCTAGAACATCAACCAGGTGATAGGTAGTGGCACACAATGAAAAGGGGAAATAGCATACTTTTAAAAATATATATACCACAAGGTCCTCCAGATTTTAAATATATATAGTAGTAAAATTAGCAGACTTTTTCGCTAACAAAGTATACAATATTAACGACAGTGAATTCCTGCAGTTCAGATAGACATTGCAAGTACTCCCTCCATCCCATAATGTAAGACGTTTTTTGACATTATATGGGACGGAGGGAGCATTTTGAGATAAGAAATATTACTACATAATTTGTAAAAATGGGACAGTATTTGTTACTACCAAGGTGATGTGCAATGTGCCTTTGAAGCCAGTACCAGGTGAGGTGGCTTGGTGATACATGAAGGCTAGGAGAGCCAAGCCAAAAAAACAGTGCCATAACTTACTCCGTCACCAACTCACGAAAAATCATGGGCCCAATCATCAGTGAAATGGGGAAGGGAGAGAACAGAATGAGATCCATTTATTTAGTTGTGGCTACCACCGAGGAGAGAGGATGATGCTTAACACTGGAGAGGAAAAGAAAACTTCGCACATGCCTGACGTGGTATTTCTTAGTGGCAGTACATACTCCCTATACGCCCTTGGAAAGTACACCCTCTGTTCCAAAATGTAATACGTTTTGGCAGTTCAATTTGAACTGCCAACATGTCTTACATTTAGGAACAGAGGTAGTAACAAGTAGGTGTTCTCAAAATACCATAATGAGATATAACCAACAAGTTTCCTAAGCAAAAAATACAGTTACATACAGAATTTTGTTATTTAATGCCTTAAGTTCAATCAGAAGAATGCAAAAGGCTTACTCTTTTGGTTCAAAAATAAGCTCCTTGAAAACAGAATATCCAGCTAATGCTGCAACTCCAAGCCCCGCGAGTATTACAACACTGTAAGAAGCCCCCTCAGCAAAAGTCACTGGCTTCTCGGGTATATTATACGTAGGGGCATCGAAGGGATCTCCAACAGTTGACAAGTCTTTTTTCCCCTGAGGATAAAGAGGGCAGTGATCTATAAGCAATATAAAAATGAAATATGATTCAGCATCGGCTTGCACCGTAAGGCAAAATATTAGTTATTAAATAGGAAACATGAACAACTATTAAACCATACAAAGAGTACTTTGCTAATAATTTTCAATTTGGGTCAAGATATATACATGAACAGGGAACCTCAAAAACTAAAAATAAAAAATAAACAAGACATTAGGTGATTAATATTTCTAAGGGAAACTAAATACACAAGAAGAGAACAGACATACTCGACTCTTTTTCAATAAATAAACTCTAAACAACAGAATCGGACCATTAATTCCTACCTTGCCATCAGCCATGGAATCTGGGTTAAACAAAATGAAGATCCTAATTGGGTTATCTCATGCGAGAACATCTAGGATTCAAGACCAAAGAAGCACCTAGAAATTTATGTATACTGATACAACCAATGAGGCAGAACCTTTTCAGCGTGATTGTCCCGTTCCGACAGCATTTAAAATAGTACATACTAATCTTCAAATATTGTTTAAAACAACCCCATTACAGAGGCTAATGTATACACATTCATCAATAGTGATACAGCCACTTCCTGATGCACTGACACCTACATAATTTAATCTTATGAAAATGGAAAGAAGCTCACAGAAGCTGATGATGTATGCACAGGTGCTTAGCAGTACTGCAGAGTGCAGATGGTTACAAGGTGACACAACTAATAATTTCATATATTGTCCTTGTACAATTTATAGTAGCATGTTCAAAATATGGACAGCACTGCTCAAAACTATACCAAGAGAAGACTAAAACAAGCAGGAAAATGTACAACACGACATTGAATAATTTTAATAATCAAACACGAACAGAACTAGCTAGCATCATGTACCTCTTTGGGATTTTGGTCTGAAGCTTGTGAGGAGTAAGATGCAGATGACCTTATTAAAGAAGGAAATGTTTTGCGGTACTCCTGCATTGTCAGAGGACTAGAAGGGCTTGACTTGGTCATGTACCACCTTGAATTTTTTAAAGAGGATGCTGGAATGTTTGCCAAAAGAAAACCATGTCTGCATTAAATAGGGTCCACAGCAAAAGTGGGCATGGTACAGTAAATGACTGTTGGTCCAGATTTTCGACAACAAAGAACGGAAGAGTCAAATAGTTATTTAATACCTTTATTGGGTACCAAACATATGATAAATTTGATCAATTAAGTTTTATGTACAAAGTAAAAACGAGTATCTCAGATTTGTATTATAGCAATGGCAGAATGCTCTCAAAGAAAGGTTCCATAAAGAAGTTTAAGGAAGTTTTTTTCAGTACGTTTTCTAGTAAAATTAAGATTAAAAATTAAAGACGATGACAGTAGATATAATAATAGCAGGATATGTAATTCTATGTTTGAACATAGATAAGAGATGTTACCAAAAAAATCCTGACAGGACTTATAAAAGTGGGATAATTCTTGGCGAGAAGTGGATATAATAGCAGGGCACACAATTCTATCCAAACAATCCCTTATAAAAGATGTTAACAGAAAATAGACAAAATCCTGAGTACCACTGGCTGATGACATTTCTGGGTGGTTACTACATCAGCCATCATGTAAGTAGTGCATGTAGGGCATCCAGGTGCACGTGCAGGTGTTCAAGCCCAATGAGACACTAAGTAGAACTGTCCTCAACAAGGGAACTACTGGACAGCTATGCTTTGTAACACCATTACCTGTAGCTGGGGTCTAAAAACTGATAGTATTTAAATTGTACACATATGAATTATACTAATCTGGTATATTTCGGTAACAGCAGTTCTGCAGCCAGAACCAATAGTAGATAATGCTGAGAAACAGTATAAGTTGTAGCCTTATGGAGTATGCTGCGGATATTTGACTGTTCATGATGCTCTTCTCTTGTACTATCCAATCTCAGTTTACAAAACGTCGTTGGACAAAGTTAGTTCATGCAACGTACAAAAGGCTGGATGGCCCTTTCACAAGACCAGGACTCCGTTTAAGCATCAAATATACGAACACTCTATTATAACTGCATTGTAAAATACACTTATTTGTGAACATAATTTCATTCCAACTAAAGCAAACCAAGCGTTTTAAATTCCTTCTCACACAGCACCGACCACCAGGAACAAAAAGAATATCACAGATGAAACGGTAGCCAGAAGACCAAAAGAAATGGAATGCAGGCACATAAGAATAATTGAATTTTCATAATACAACATCATACAGCAAGCTTCAAGATCAGAGGTGAGAACCTTCAGCCTTTGCAACATCCTGGTGAAAATGTAGGTAAGAGTAAAAACAAAATCAGTCTTTGTGTACATTGCCAAAGAAGAAACCCTAAACTATCTCAGAAAAAATTATGGTATGTAAAAAAATGC